TGTCTTTTTCCTTACTTCTTCACATCAGCCGGGATATCTTTTTAAATACTAGTGTGATTTTAATGAATTTGGTATCAATTTAAAGTTAAAAGTTTAATCTTTAAAATGGTGCTACTTTTTTTGTTACTAACAAATTGGTTAGTACACAAGATCACGTGGAAACAACTTCATGTAAGTGATTCCATACTTTTGCTCGCGAGTGTATTTTGGTTTTAAAGTGTATTTGTGGCGCATAATATTAACAAAGTTAATGAAATAAACTTCCCAATCCATCATTCGGAAAACAGCATCTAATTAGGTAGGTACCTGCCTACATACCAGAATTGAAAACTTTCATAATACCACAATTAAATAACCATAGTATAATACCAACTTAAAACTCACAGGGTTTTATTACAAATTAAAAAGATAACATTTATTTTATTTTATTTATTTTTTATTTGTAGTTAATAGCGCCCGCGCATGTGTGCGCGTACTTGACATTGTCGATGGTTGCATTGCACAGGAAGTCGCTCGAACTACGCCAGAAACGGTACGAAACGGGCAACAAATGCAAACGTTTCCGAGAAAACATCCTAGTCGAGGAGCCAAAGTTCGTAAACGTTTCAAAGCAATATCATCATCCTCATTTCAGCCATAGGACGTCTACTGCACTACTGAATAAAGTCCTCCCCCAATGATTTTTATAGTGACCGATTCGTAATGGCTCTCGAAAACAGCTTGTAGACATTGCGCAGAACTGGCAATAAGGCAAACATCTCGTGATCTCGAGTGGCGACCACCATACAATTAAGAACGAAACATAATGTTATACTTACATTACTTTGGCACCAAACTAAACTATAAGCGCACAAGTAGGTAATATAGAGGGGCGATAATGATCGGAGGATAGTACAATTGTTACTATTTTTCAGACGAACGGCACATTAAGCTAAATAATGCAGGATCGTATCTATCTCATTATCATTAAATTAATATTCTGGTATGATGTCGACCATACGTATACAGGGTGTTGATTTCAATCCACGCCATATTTATTTAGGTGATCTATTATGACTTACATAAACACATTATCCACCAAAAAAAAAAAAAATGTAAAATTCCACTTTCGTTTGTATTTTACAAACGAAAGTGGAATTTTTAGCGAATATTTTCCGTGCGAAATCAACTGCACTGTGGCTCGCAATACTGCAATAGTTTACACTGCGGCACTCATCGAGCTACGAGGATCGCTCGCTTATCATGTTAACCCCCTGAAGGAAGTCACTTAAAGTAGGTAGTTTAAAAGGTATTTTTCTTTGACTACCTAAAGTTAAAGTTTGTTTTAATTTTTTTTCGAAGTCAATTTTTTTACTGATTCGTGATCAGAATAAGCTACTTAATCAACTCCCTGAATATGGCGAGGATAGAAATCAACACGCTGTATACACGGATGGACCAGACACTTGTCAGCATGGAATGTTAGTATGCGATGGACACGAACATTTATTAGGTACACCTAGGTATCTACAGAGACTCCATAGACCGATTTGAAAGTTTCGGAATACAATTAATACATTCACGATGCGACGTAAGTGACTTGCAATAAGTACTTGCAATTTTATTGATATATGTATTTATGATAGGGAGGGAATTAGAAAATAAGATACGGTCAAAAAATATGGCAGCTGCTTGCGATTTGATTATTTCCACTTGTGCGTTTTCGAGCCACATTAGATATTAAATTAATGAAATCTACTTATTTTATGAAAATAAAACTATCAAAGATCTATCTAACTTATTTGTTTTAACTAGAAACTCGGGGAAAATAAAAACGTTACAGTAATACACAACGCAACACTCACTTCAAGTTTTCCTAGTTCATTAGGAGTAATTTAGTTTTCCGTGTACTTGTATTGTTTCTGGGTGGTGTTCTCGATGTGAAGGCATGCCATAACTTATGGTAGTGGAGTGCGGAACGCTGTTACGTGCCGAAGAGTTGCGAGAGGGATAGGTACTGATATCGAAAATCAATCAAAAGGTGATAAGTTTCTTTACGAGATCGAATCAGAAATGAGGAGATTCGTAAACGAACTGAAGTCGCTGTCATAGCCCAACGGATTAAGAAGCTGAAGTGGCAATGGGTAGGGCAAATAGTACGCAGATATGACGGCCGATGGGGCAGCAAGGTTCTTCTGGAGTGGGGGCCACGTATCGGAAAGCGCAGCGTAGGACATCCACCCACAAGCTGGACCGACGAACTCATAATGGTAGCAGGAAGACGCTGGATGCAAGCCGCTGCCAACTGGTCATCATGGAAGACATTGGGGGAGGCCTATGTTTAGCAGTGGAGGCCCTATGGCTGAAATGATAATGATGATGATGAACACGTGACATTATATTGAATGTTCGATGTTTTGACTTTTTGATTAATAGTGTTCGATAATTTGATTTTAGATCAATAGTATTCGAAATGGCGCAGGTAACCCATCGTCTGCTGCTGCTGTGTGGAGTGCGAACTTGCACCTTTAAGCTTACTATAGCAATAGCACCTAATACGGTTTGTTTTGGTGAAAATAATTAGTGTTGTAACAAAGTTAAACTAGACCACATTGGTCAATTTATCTAAGGAAATTGTTAATTGTATTCCTTAGGTTTAATGACAAAAAATTGGAACTACAATCTACACATACATCCAAAATCGATAGGTGACGGCACAGCACTAGGACTCGAGTTTTTTGCGATGAGAGAGCAACCGATGCGGTGGCGCTATAGCATAAAAACACTATTGTGTTTGTGGGAACCACAGGTTTGCTGCCACCTGTTCTTTGGGTCTACTTACAACGCCTACATTGATGTGCTTTTTCGGAGTAATCATGTAGGCTGGCTGGTACCCTCAACTACTTTGATAGAAAATCTGTAAAACAATTTCGATCATATTGTATACAGGGTGACTTTGCAATCAGTATCCAAATTTTTAGGAGCGACTTGGAATCAGTAACTTAATCGATTTACATAAGGAACACGATTTTTTTTTTCATATTTAATTAGGACTTTTATTCGTTGCGCGCGGTTTCAAAATTGGCACACGTGGATAATTTCTTCGTTCATAGAAGAATACGTACACACAGTAAACTATAAAGCTTAATAGACATAATGGTACGCGAAAATAAGCCTTAACCTTTAAAAATTAAGATATGGGCTGGGCACCCGCGAATTACATTTTCAATAATTTTATTCGTGAAAAATACTGCGATTAAAAATAATTAAGATAAAGTTGTACTTATCGTTAAATTGTTCTATAAGCTTATTAAAAATTTGGATACTGATTACAAAATCATCCTGTATGATAAAATATATGTTTGCACATTAAGCTTGAAATCATGCCTAATTTTTTTTAATTATCGTTATATAGCCTGACCAGGAACATAAAAACCCTGGCATAGAGGCGCGTCAATTGCATTTGATAGTGCAACACTGAGTACAGTCGTACCTGTGTTAAATTAATAGGCTAACTTTATGTATCAGAATTCAGGATTACGGGCTAATTTGATATTTTCATAAATTAACGAAAAAATATTATTATAGGTAACCTGGTTTAAATAAATTAAATGAAACCATCAATCGAGCTAGTAGGATTTATTTTATTATTCATCAATAATAAAATTCAGAACTTGAATATTCAACTGCAATGTCTGCTAAGAACGCTTCAAACTCGGTACTTCTTTCCCAATTCCATAAAATTCAACACTTAAAGAGTGACAAAAAACTTTAAAATAGGTAGTTGAAACAAACCACAGCTAATTTTCATAGTTGACTGTACTATACGATAAACATGTCAGTCAATTTGACAACCTTTGTCGGAAACATTATTCAATGAAAAATTGTCCGAACCCTTAGTATTTCTCTTCGACAAATACTTTAACACATTGTGAACCACTTTTCTTTCACGACTATAAAAAGATTTTAGCAATTTGTTCACAAAATCAATTGCGCACATTTAAAATAAAGTTTGTTTACATTATGACAGCAATAAACTGACATGCAAGGTGACATTATAATGAAGTTTTCAGTTACTGTTGCCATTAAAAGAAATTAGTACCATTAGTTTTCCGCAACATGGCGAGGGTTTTTATGTTCCTGGTCAGGCTATAATTAAATAAATAATTATCTTGACATTTAACGCTGCGCCGTGCGCGCCATCTAGTCCCAAAGTTTTCTTCGTTGATGCCAGCCTGCCCATTTGATTTGATTTATTTTTTGAACCAAATAAACAATTTTTTCTTCTTATTCATTTGCTTTTTCCTCATCATCATTTCAACGTCTCGCAAAGCATATTTTAATGTGCAGTTCGTCTACAAAACTAATCTCTTTACCACCTTGTAGGACGCGTATTTTTTTTATCTTTCAGCATAATTATGTAGACACCCGGCAGCGTATCCAGGCACAAACAAAGACAAAATAACTCACAATTTAACAGCCGTGTGTGTGTAATTACAGAAACCATAACGAGCTACTTATGACCGCTTAGATTTATTAAATTTTGGATTCTAGGCAAGTTAATGTGCCCATGCCTGTAGGTTACAAAGGTTTCGAGGTTTGAAGCATCAACAGTAGCACGAAATGGTTTCTGTAATATTATCAAGAACCTTCTACGAGTAAATACGAGGCGGCACCGTACGAGGTCGCAAAGTTGAAATTTGGAAAGAGCAAATCGAACTATAGAAATACATACCAATTTTCAATTCTCTCGTTAAACTTTCCAGGTAAAACTACCAAATGGCTGGACTAAATATTATAAGGGTGTCAAACAGGATACGTTCAGGGTAGATACCCTGAACGTATAACTACGCTAATAACGTGTAGTATGTAGATACATACTACACGTTATTAGCGTAGTTATCCTCGTTTTCATACTAGAACCTAATACAAAGACCACCTAAGCGCACACGTACAAACCATTCCGATTTGCTAAAAATGGAGGCGAAGTTAACGTTACAAACGATATAACCGGAGTTAACGGCATTAGTAGGATCCGACCTATCGTAGCAACAGCCTGATTTCTAGTTTAAAATTCAAATTCAATAAGTACCTTACTTTCTATCTTATCATATTAATTTAGATAATAAGTGAATCAATTATTTTATCTTTTCGAATGCACGCTGCAACTATCGACATATAAACGGCACTCGTAGTGTAAAGAACACAGTACCTATCATCAGAATAATTTACATTATTATTTTTTCACAATGTTGGAACCGTTGTTGCATATTTTGAACGAGAAGAAAATAGTTCTTGCTAGTGGAGCCCCGAACAAAAAACAATTCTTTGACAACATTGTAAGTACCATTCATATAAACAAATTATGGCAGTGTTTTACAACTACTACCTCTATTTTGTCAAGTTTGTATTATGTTAAATTTTCTTTCAATTATTTTTATCTAATGATTTAATCTAAGTACTGCACTAATATTTATAAAAAATAAATTTTATTATGGAGCCCCCTTTTTAAAATCGGTATTATCCTCATAACAAACGAACAAAAATAATTACTATCGAATTGAAAACTGTTTAAAAATAGAGTTATAATAACATGAAAAAATTACGAAATTTTAACGTTTTGTAACTTACATAGTTCTTCGTATTTTTATCATTAATTTCCTTGTATAATTTTACCCATACTTGTTGCTGGACCTCACACTATGGATGTTGTTTTAAAGCAGAAGATATGGAACTTACAATAATAACTAAATCTAACTACACTTTAATGTGCATTTGTAATAAAAACAAGTAGCCACACGTCAAATTTTAAAAAAACTAATACAGACTCCTAAAAAAAATATTTTTTCCACAGGGTTTGAAAGTTGAGGGCTGCGCTTCAACATTTGAAGAAGATTTGGATCCAAGTAATTTCAAAACCTTCGCTGAGTTCGTTGAAGAGACCGCATTGCAGAAGGTGCTCGAAGTGGAAGAGAGGTTGAAACGCGAAAACCGAGCAGCTGACCTGGTGATCGGAGCCGATACCATGGTTACGATTGACAACCAAATGTTTGGGAAACCAAAAGACGTGGAAGACGCCGTAAAGACGCTCAAGCGGTAAACTAATTTATACAAGAATAGAATCACACCAAACCCGATGCACTTTGTGCCCGATGCTAGGTTTAATTAAACCAGAAAACGGACTAAGATCTTCTAAAACGGACAAAAGACTATTTTTACCAAATAGTCTAATTATTTAATCAATTAATGGCACATCAAGTTAAACACAGCTTGTTGCATAGTATGTCACGAATCTAGAGCGGCTGTTGCAGAAGAACAACATAATTAATATCTCATTATTTTATTTCTAGTGAGCCTGTCATTTCGCAAGTATTTAGTGGTGCTACTTTAGGTTTTAGCCGTTTATAGACAAGCAATTATTTCATCTAAGTCACTTTTAATTTCTTTTTCTAACGAAATTTTATTAGGTAAGAAATCTAATTCAAAAGTTGAACGACTATTACTCTGAAACTAACTGATCTGTCTTAAACTTTTCTTTGAAAATTCAAGATTAGCTCATCATAAATTTATTTTCCAGATTTTTGAAGTCAATGTTTAGCTTTAAAGAAGGGGGGGGGATGGAAGAATATACAGGCTGGCAGCGACAATCTTCGCTTGTACAACTTTTAATACGGACTACTTACTACCACAGAAAAAGCTATCTTCGTTAACCATATTGTGCTTGTAGACCTACGTGACGTATTATTTTCTGTTTTATAACTTTCTGCTCGTAGCCTTTCAGGGAAGTCGAATGTGGTGCTGACTGGCGTCGTGGTGAAACCTCGGGGCAAAGACCCTATCAAGTTCACACAATCAACCGAAGTATTCTTCGACGTGATGACTGATGCACAAATAAGAGGATACGTCGCTACGAAGGAACCAATGTAAGTACGTTCAATCAACGTTCGGCATCGCGGCATAGGTAAATTAACTGTTTCGAATTTCCATTCAATCGCTGCTATACAACTTTTGACAACACCTTTATTTAACTTAATTCAGGGGGCATTGGTGTATCCAGACTTTTTAGGGAGGGGCCAAGAACGCCTTAGGGTTAAGTGTCATTAGTATTTCTTAGAGTAGGCGCACACCGTTGATTTTTCGTCGGCCGATAGTTTAGTCGGGCAGTTGATCAGTATGGGCAATTGGGCATGTATGGGAGTGCGCACACTACGCCGATTCTTCATACAATTTAAAATCGGGCACAACTATCGGCCAACTAAAAATCAACGGTGTGCGCCTACTCTTATGCGCATGTAAGGGAGGCATGAAAAAAAATTTTTTTTTTCGGTGAGGCTCGGCGTAATTTAAAGGTTGTGAAACCCTGTTTTACAGCAAAATTTGTTTTCTCAATTGAAAAAAATCTTCCTTGAGGAAGGAGGGTAGCCTTACTTTTTAACTTGTAATTTCTATAATTTCCAATGTACAGGAGAATGGCAGGCTCGTACGCGATCCAAGGGAAAGGGGGCAGCTTTGTGAAGCGCATCGAAGGCGACTACTCCAACGTCATCGGCATGCCGGTGAACGCCGTGTGTCGTGTCCTAACTCAGTTGTACGGCAATTAGGGCGGAGAGCGAAAAAGGACAGCACGTCATATATCTGCCATCCGCAGAATAAATAAATAATTAAAAAGTAATACTTAGTGGAATTACTGCATTCCAAACGTGAATTAGAACTGGCCCCATAGCAGACATTTTCCTACATCTAAAGGCCTTTTGAAATATACAATATTGGTTATGGCTTTTTTTTTTTATTTATTTATTTATTGCACATAATGAATACACTGTATATTGTTAGGTACTAGGTACTAACATACAAATGCACACCCGGTTGGGCACAGCAATACAAAATAACAGTTGTTATTATTGGAGCGGGTACCACTTTCCATACATTTGTGCCCATCATCCTTTGTCAAATCTTGTTACCAGGCACAGATTGTTACTAACTTAGGTTAGTTAGATAAATAAAATTAATGTTGGTCATCTAGGCATAACTGGACATTTAATTTTGTACATTCGTAGTACTCCGTGCCTCCCAAAAATAACAATATTGTTTTGCGCGCGGTTGTTTTTGCCGTCAATAAACTGGTAGGCGCCAAAAGGAGTATTTGGAAACCTTTTCTGGCCACCTCAAAATGCCTAGCCCATCATAGGGCAATGTCCACTAGCCACCACCACCAAAATAAGCGTTTTTATTTTATGTACATTAATAAGGGTACACATACTTTTAAATAAATAAAATGCTTTAACATTTATACTTACATAAATAATACATATTAATTAGGTAGTTGATTGACATGTTTCTTGAATATTCAGACTCTTATTCAAAACAATAAGTGATTTGTTATTTTATTTAATTACTAATCAACACAGACTACTTATAACTACATAAACTTACAATAAAATAAACACACTAGCCTTTACTCCTACAAATACTCAAGTGTTGTATTTTGTAGCTACATATTCACAGGTTTTTAGGATCTTTGAACATCTCATACAACACAGAACACAACCTGAACAATGGCAGGCCAACTACCGTGAAGTAGTCACCTTCAATGCGTTCTATAAAGCACCCACCCATGCCTTGAATACCATATCCGCCTGCTTTGTCCCTAAAAATTTACAATGCTCCTTTATATTATGATCTATATTTATATTACAATAATTGATGGTGACAAATAATGTGGAATTGGCTTGAGAAGTATAAGCAGAAAAAAGAAGCATTTGGTTAGGACTGGTGTGCAAGCGATTAATGTTTTTCTTTCTTGTTTAAATGTAAGCACCAGAAGGGAAATGTGTTTACATAAAGGTAACAGCTGTCAAGGATCTCTTGAGGCACATGTATTTGAATGCTGATTTAAAAACTGGTATGCAACCAACTACAGTAATAAAATGTAAGATGTGTGTACTGGTTAATGATTGCTACTGGTTAATTATTTTAACATTTTAAATGAATTAAAGAATTACTTACATCGGCTCGCCTGTAGCAATGTATCCCTTAATCTGGTCTTCATGTAGTTTTCCAAAGAACACATCCGTTTTTTCAGTAAATTTCACAATCTTGTCATGCGCTTTTACCACAACTCCTGTGTAGACTGTGTTGGATCTCCCTGAAAGTCTAGTTTACTTTTAATATACATAGTAGGCTTAGATTAATAAAGCCTTAATTAATCTAAGATAGTAGATAGAACTTTATCAATATAAGCAAACACTGATGACAACTAGTTGTTTATTACATTCTAGGTAGGCAAGAACTAAATTATTATTCAAAAGAATGTGAGATACAAATAAGTTTTGTGGCTAAAATAAAGTACCTGGATAGCATCCTAAAGGCTTCATCTTCTGAGGTTGGTTTTCCAAATAATTCCTTGTCGAGTGTAACCATAGTGTCCGCGCCGATGACTATGTCGGGAGGCTGCCCCTGGCCGATCAGCCTACCCTCCACTTCCAACACCTTCTGTAACGCAGTCTCCTCAACAAACTCCGAGAAGCTATTGAAGTTCTTTGGATCCAAATCTTCTTCAAAATAAGAACTGCAAAGTCCCACTTTTAAGCCCTAAAACAGAAAAATATTAAGGACAAATCAAATCAAGAAAATATTATTGTAAGTAGGCATAAAGTAGGTATATTAATTATCCCGTAAAATATTCTTACAATATTCTCAACAAGTTCTTTTCTTCTTGGCGACCCGCTGGCTAAAATAATATTTTTCTGCTTCAAAATGTGCATTACTGGTTGCAACATTGTTGAATTTATACAAAACGTATAATAATATAACCTAAAAATAAAGTTATGAAATTGATAAATGAATTCAAATATCCTGCTTCGTTGTTAAATAAAATGCTAAAAACACTACTGCTTTGGCAAATATTATGAAAATCAACCTGCCCCGAGTAAACGACGCAAAATTTACGAATTTACCGCCGCTGTTACTTACAGCGTTTCTGTTTTGAACAACAACGAACGGAAGAGCGAAGAGCTGTCATCAGCTGACAGCTGTCAAATGTCATAGATCCAAACATATATTTTTGGGGTCGATTCTTTTAAAGAGAAGACAGGCATTGAAACATACAGCCGAAACTTTAGTTTTTTAAACCCCCGCGTCAGATAGAAGAAAAGGGGTATAAGGTGGTTATCACACGGACGACAGATTTAATCATTGTATGCAAGTACCTCAGTTTGTATAGAAAACACGCGCGGCACTTCACACTGACAACGCGTCTGCGCGCGTGATTTTTTTATATGAAATCACGCGCTGTGATCACGTGCTCCGCGGCGGAGCGTGGCGCAGTGTGATAACCGCCTGAGCCCCGATTACGGTAACTTTTAACGTCTACAATCCAGACACGCTTCTCGATTCTGCGATACGATTGGTCGTTCAACAGCGTACGTCAGCTGTTTTGACCAATCGTATCGCAGAATCAGAAACGCGTCTGGATTGGAAACGTTAAAAATTACCGTAATCGGGGCTCTGGACTTCTTGGCGGGAAAGTGAAGCGCTTAGTGAAGCGTCATGTTAGCGGTTTTGTTTTGAATTCTAAAATTCGTGTTTTCTAAAATGGTTTATGTGTCATTGTTATGTGTTCGTATTGGTTAATAACTCTATGGTTCGTAAACATGCATGAGTGTGGGCAAATGAAACAAAACAGTGCAGCCTGATTCTTTCGGATTTACTCAAGTAGTCCATACGAAGTCTCAGTAAAGCACCACAATTTTAAATGTAACAAAATCTAGTAATTTATCTAACTGTTAATAATTTTAATTTTGTAAACTTTATCTGTTATTGTTTGAGATAGTAAGTACCTACTTGTAATAATGTTATTACAAGTATATAGGTATTTAGTGTTACTTATTATGGCTTATGGTCTAGTTTGTAATTTATTAACACTTTTTCTTTACGGTATACCTATCACCTATTACATATAAATATAAAGGCACTGGGTCTCTATCNTTAGGAACATTTTTCAGCTCCAACCTTGTCGAATAAAGTTGTGTTGTAACAAAGTTAAACTAGACCACATTGGTCAATGTATCTAAGGAAATTGTTAATTGTATTCCTTAGGTTTAATGACAAAAAATTGGAACTACAATCTACACATACATCCAAAATCGATAGGTGACGGCACAGCACTAGGACTCGAGTTTTTTGCGATGAGAGAGCAACCGATGCGGTGGCGCTATAGCATAAAAACACTATTGTGTTTGTGGGAACCACAGGTTTGCTGCCACCTGTTCTTTGGGTCTACTTACAACGCCTACATTGATGTGCTTTTTGGGAGTAATCATGTAGGCTGGCTGGTACCCTCAACTACTTTGATAGAAAATCTGTAAAACAATTTCGATCATATTGTATACAGGGTGACTTTGCAATCAGTATCCAAATTTTTAGGAGCGACTCAGAATCAGTAACTTAATCGATTTACATAAGGAACACGATTTTTTTTTCATATTTAATTACTTTTATTCGTTGCGCGCGGTTTCAAAATTGGCACACGTGGATAATTTCTTCGTTCATAGAAGAATACGTACACACAGTAAACTATAAAGCTTAATAGACATAAAGGTACGCGAAAATAAGCCTTAACCTTTAAAAATTAAGATATGGGCTGGGCACCCGCGAATTACATTTTCAATAATTTTTTTCGTGAAAAATACTGCGATTAAAAATAATTAAGATAAAGTTGTACTTATCGTTAAAGTGTTCTATAAGCTTCTTAAAAAAAATTGGATACTGATTACAAAATCATCCTGTATGATGAAACATTTGTTTGCACATTAAGCTTGAAATCATGCCTACATATTTTTAATTATCGTGATAATGAAATAAATAATTATCTTGACATTTAACGCTGCGCCGTGCGCGCCATCTAGTCCCAAAGTTTTCTTCGTTGATGCCAGCCTGCCTAAAATACGTGCTCGCTATATGTATAGTATAGCCCATTTGATTTGATTTATTTTTTGAACCAATAAACAATTTTTTCTTCTTATTCATTTGCTTTTTCCTCATCATCATTTCAACGTCTCGCAAAGCATATTTCAATGTGCAGTTCGTCTACAAAACTAATCTCTTTACCACCTTGTAGGACGCGTATTTTTTTTATCTTTTAGCATAATTATGTAGACACCCGGCAGCGTATCCAGGCACAATCAAAGACAAAATAACTCACAATTTAGCAGCCGTGTGTGTGTAATTACAGAAACCATAACGAGCTACTTATGACCGCTTAGATTTATTAAATTTTGAATTCTAGGCAAGTTAATGTGCCCATGCATGTAGGTTACAAAGGTTTCGAGGTTTGAAGCGTCAACCGTAGCACGAAATGGTTTCTGTAATATTATCAAGAGCCTTCTACGAGTAAATACGAGGCGGCACCGTACGAGGTCGCAAAGTTGAAATTTGGAAAGAGCAAATCGAACTCTATAGAAATACATACCAATTTTCAATACTCTCGGTAAACTTTCCAGGTAAAACTACCAAATGGCTGGACTAAATATTATAAGGTGTCAAACAGGATACGTTCAGGGTATCTACATACTACACGTTATTAGCGTAGTTGTCCTCGTTTTCATACTAGAACCTAATACAAAGACCACCTAAGCGCACACGTACAAACCATTCCGATTTGCTAAAATGGAGGCGAAGTTAACGTTACAAACGATATAACCGGAGTTAACGGCATTAGTAGGATCCGAACTATCGTAGCAACAGCCTGATTTCTAGTTTTAAGTTCAAATTTTATAATAATACTAGCTGACCCGGCGAACTTCGTACCGCCTTAGCGTAGAGATTTTCTTAATATTTTTTTCCGTAAGAACCATCCTTGGACTTCCACAAACATTTAAAAAAAAGAATTATCGAAATCGGTTCAGCCGTTCACACGTGATGCCGTGACAACGCGAAACGGGTTTCATTTTTATATATATATAGATTCAATAAGTACTTTACTTTCTACCTTATCATATTAATTTAGATAATAAGTGAATCAATTATGTATTTTATCTAATCGAATGCACGCTGCAACTATCGTAGTAGTACTAGTAGTGTAAAGAACACAGTACCTATCATCAGAATAATTTACATTATTATTTCTTCACAATGTTGGAACCGTTGTTGCATATTTTGAACGAGAAGAAAATAGTTCTCGCTAGTGGGGCCCCGAACAAAAAACAATTTTTTGACAACATTGTAAGTACCATTCATATAAACAAATTATGGCAGTGTTTTACAACTACTACATCTATTTTGTCAAGTTTTTATTATGTTAAATTTTCTTTCAATTATTTTTATCTAATGATTTAATCTAAGTACTGCACCAATATTTATAAAAATTAAATTTTATTATGGAGCCGCCTTTTTAAAATTGGTATTATCCTCATGACAAACGAACAAAAATAATTACTATCGAATTGAAAACTGTTTAAAAATAGAGTTACAATAACATGAAAAAATTGCGAAATTTTAACGTTTTGTAACTTACATAGTTCTTCGTATTTTTATCATTAATTTCCTTGTATAATTTTACTCATACTTGTTGCTGGACCTTAAACTATGGATGTTGTTTTAAAGCAGAAGATATAGAACCTACAATAATAACTAAATCTAACTACACTTTAATGTGCATTTGTATAATAAAAAAAGTAGCCCCACGTCAAATTTAAAAAACTGTAACATAATACAGACACCTAAAAAATATTTCTTTCACAGGGTTTGAAAGTTGAGGGCTGCGCTTCAACATTTGAAGAAGATTTGGATCCAAGTAATTTCAAAACCTTCGCTGAGTTCGTTGAAGAGACCGCATTGCAGAAGGTGCTCGAAGTGGAAGAGAGGTTAAAACGCGAAAACCGAGCAGCTGACCTGGTGATCGGAGCCGATACCATGGTTACGATTGACAACCAAATGTTTGGGAAACCAAAAGACGTGGAAGACGCCATCAAGACGCTCAAGCGGTAAACTAATTTATAGAAGAATACAATCACACCAAACCCGATGCACTTTGTGCCCGATGCTAGGCTTAATTAAACCAGAAAACGGACTAAGATCTTCTAAAACGGACAAAAGACTATTTTTACCAAATAGTCTAATTATTTAGTCAATTAATGGCACATCAAGTTAAACACAGCTTGTTGCATAGTATGTCGTTGTAAACTATTGATTGGCGTTGAATGTCACGAATCTAGAGCGGCTGTTGCAGAAGAACAACATAATTAATATCTCATTATTTTATTTCTAGTGCGCCTGTCATTTCGCAAGTCTTTAGTGGTGCTACTTTAGGTTTTAGCCGTTTATAGACAAGCAATTAGTATTTCTTTTTAAGTCACTTTTAATTTCTTTTTCTTAGGAATTTTTATTAGGTGAGAAATCTAATTCAAAAGTTGAACGACTATTACTCTGAAACTTAACTGATCTGTCTTAAACTTTTCTTTGAAAATTCAAGATTAGCTCATCATAAATTTATTTTCCAGATTTTTGAAGTCAATGTTTAGCTTTAAAGAAGGGGGGGGGGGCGAATATACAGGCTGGAAGAGCGACAATCTTCGCTTGTACAACTTTTAATACGGACTACTTACTACCACAGAAAAAGCTATCTTCGTTAACCATATTGTGTTCGTAGACCTACGTGACGTATTATTTTCTGTTTTATAACTTTCTGCTCGTAGTCTTTCAGGGAAGTCGAATGTGGTGCTGACTGGCGTCGTGGTGAAACCTCGGGGCAAAGACCCTATCAAGTTCACACAATCAACCGAAGTATTCTTCGACGCGATGACTGATGCACAAATAAGAGGATACGTCGCTACGAAGGAACCAATGTACGTTCAATCTACTTACTGAATTGTTGTTTTTACGAGGACCTCCTCGTAAAAACAACAATTCAGTATTTGAAAAGAAACGACAAACAGAATTTGAAATGCAAACGTACCTACGTTTGCATTTCAAATTCAAATTCAAAACGTTTATTGCATGTCACATTACAATTAATATGTTGTTGCAAAATAGAGGTAGGTAATTTCCAAAAAAAAACCTACACTAAAACGTAGAAAAATAATTACTAATTATCTACTTATTTATTAGGACGAATTATTAATATTTATGTAGGTATACCACTCAGATCATANCTAACCATCATCGCGGCATAGGTAATTAACTGTTCCGAATTGCCATTCAATCGCTGCTATACAACTTTTGACAACACCTTTATTTTAATTTAATTCAGGGGGCATTGGTGTATCCAGACTTTTAGGGAGGGGCCAAGAACGCCGGGGGGGAGGGTTAAGTGTCATTAGTATTTCTTAAAGTAGGCGCACACCGTTGATTTTTCGTCGGCCGATAGTTTAGTCGGGCAGTTGATCAGTATGGGCAAGTATGGGAGTGCGCACACTACGCCGATTCTTCATACAATTTAAAATCGGGCACAACTATCGGGCACAACTATCGGCCAACTAAAAATCAACGGTGTGCGCCTACTCTTATGCGCATGTAAGGGGGGCATGAAAAAAAAATTTTTTTTTTCGGTGAGGCTCGGCGTAATAAAGGTTGGGAAACCCTGTTTTACAGCAAAATTTGTTTTCTCAATTGAAAAAAATCTTCCTTGAGGAAGGAGGGTAGCCTTACTTTTTAACTTGTAATTTCTATAATTTCCAATGTACAGGAGAATGGCAGGCTCGTACGCGATCCAAGGGAAAGGGGGCAGCTTTGTGAAGCGCATCGAAGGCGACTACTCCAACGTCATCGGGATGCCTGTGAACGCCGTGTGTCGGGTCCTAACTCAGTTGTACGGCAATTAGGGCGGAGAGCGAAAAAGGACAGCGCGTCACATATCTGCCATCCGCAGAATAAATAAATAATAAATAAATAGTTTATTCATTAAAATAAGAGCATTAAAAGTAAGTAGTAGTAGTATGTTAGAGTTTACATCCTACACTAGTATTAGGTATATTATCTGTGATACTACTAAAATTATAAAGGCGAAAGTTTGGATGTCTGAATGTCATGATATCTGGATGTCTAGATATTTGTTACTCTTTCACACAAAAACTACTGAACGAATTTTGTTGAAACTTTACAGTACCTATTATTGTTTACAACCCAGATTAACATATAGGCTATAATTTATGACGATATGTGACAAATCAATTTCAATAAATAAATAAAACGTGTCTAAAAAGCGCCATCTATCGTCATTGGTTAAAATCTACAGTGCTGGACAAACTACTGTTTTTGATGTTTGTAAATTATTCATACGGGGGAAGCCGTGAAACGCCATCTATCAACATGATATCAAACGGGGGTAAAACGAGGTCTACGCGTACGAAGTCGAATACTCGTGAAAAGCTCTCTGTCATCACAGCTTATGCGCAAATAAATGAATGCTTATATACAGAGAGGATGCCACTTTCGTGCATGTAGGTAGGTAGGTACCATTTTTATTTTCTTGCATAATTATTATTACATATATTATAACCATTTTAACCTTAACGGGATTAATGCTAATATTCTTTAAAAATAAAATATATTATTACCAATAAAGCCTAAAACATATATTTTTACCCTTTCATTACCAGGGAGAAATAATTACCTATATTTTATTAATGTAAAACTTTAAACTAATATCCGTATTTGTGTGCAAATAAATTAACACAACGCCATCTATTTATTTACTCCAGTGCAAATCCAAGTGAGCGAAAATATTGAATTGATATTATAACATAAATACTTATACTCGTACAAAATTAGGTATTGTAGTGAACATAATAATTTAACATAATAAATAGATATGCTTTACTTTGATGATGGAGCTAGTTATCCGCACTTGGATCGCCAATATGCGTGAAATCTAAATTCTCAATTCTTATTCTATTTTAATTCTCAATAATCTAAAAGGCTTTAAATTAATAGTATTTACAACCTACACAAGAAACACGTAAACTACAATTTAGAAATGGATAGGTAACCTTTATCTACAAAATTTGACAAATCTTGTTACCAGGCACAGATGGTTACACTAACTTAAGTAAGATAAATAATGCCGTCAAATAAAATTAATGTTGATCAGCTAGGCATGACTGGACATTTAATTTTGTACATTCGTAATTTCGTAGTACTCCGTGCCTCCCAAAAGTAACAATATTGTTACGCGCGCGGTTGTTTTTGCCGTCAATAAACTGGTAGGCGCCAAAAGGAAGCTGAGGTGTTTGGAAGCCTTTTCTGCAACCCCAAAATGCCTAGCCCATCATAGGGCAATGTCCACTAGCCACCACCACCAAAATAAGCGTTTTTATTTTATGAAATAATATTAGTACACATACTTTTAAATAAATAAAATTCTTTAACATAATTATACTTACATAAATAATACATACTATTTAGGTAGTTGATTGTCATGTTTCTTGAATATTCACGGAATCTTATTCAAAACAATAATTGATTTGTTATTTTATTTAATTACTAATCAACACATACTACTTATAACTACATAAACTTACAATAAAATAAACACACTAGCCTTTACTCCTACAAATACTCAAGTGTTGCATTTTGTAGCTAGGTATTCACAGGTTTTTAGGATCTTTGAACATCTCATACAACACAGAACACAACCTGAACAATGGCAGGCCAACTACTGTGAAGTAGTCACCTTCAATACGTTCTATAAAGCACCCACCCATGCCTTGAATACCATATCCGCCTGCTTTGTCCCTAAAAATTTACAATGCTCCTTTATATTATGATCTATATTTATATTACAATAATTGATGGTGACAAATAATGTGGAATTATAGGCTTGAGAAGTAGAAGCAGAAAGAAGAAGCATTTGGCAGCAGAGAGCAGTGGGTAAAGGACTGGTGTACAAGCAATTAATGTTTTTCTTTCTTGTTTAAATGTAAGCTCCAGAAGGGAAATGTGTTTACATAAAGGTAACAGCTGTCAAGGATCTCTTGAGGCACATGTATTTGAATGCTGATTTATAAACTGGTATGCAACCAACTACAGTAATAAAATGTAAGATGTGTGTACTGGTTAATGATTGCTACTGGTTAATTATTTTAAAATTTTAAATGAAATAAAGAATTACTTACATGGGCTCGCCCGTAGCAATGTACCCCTTAATCTGGTCTTCATGTAGTTTTCCAAAGAACACATCAGTTTTCTCTGTAAATTTTACGATCTTGTCATGCGCTTTTACCACAACTCCTGTGTAGACTGTGTTGGATCTACCTGAAAGTCTACTTTACTTTTAATATACATAGTAGGCTTAGATTAATAAAGCCTTAATTAATCTAAGATAATAGGTAGAACTTTATCAATATAAGCAAACACTGATGACAACTAGTTGTTTATTACATTCTAGGTAGGCAAGAACTAAATTATTACTCAAAAGAATGTGAGATACAAATAAGTTTTGTGGTTAAAATAAAGTACCTGGACAGCATCCTAAAGGCTTCATCTTCTGAGGTTGGTTTTCCAAATAATTCCTTGTCGAGTGTAACCATAGTGTCCGCGCCGATGACTATGTCGGGAGGCTGCCCCTGGCCGATCAGCCTACCCTCCACTTCCAACACCTTCTGTAAAGCAGTCTCCTCAACAAACTCCGAGAAGCTATTGAAGTTCTTTGGATCCAAATCTTCTTCAAACAAAGAACTGCAAAGTCCCACTTTTAAGCCCTAAAAAGAAAAATATTAAGGGCAAATCAAATCAAGAAAATATTATGATTGTAAGTAGGCATAAAGTAGGTATATTAATTTATCCCGTAAAATATTCTTACAATATTCTCAACAAGTTCTTTTCTTCTTGGCGACCCGCTGGCTAAAATAATATTTTTCTGCTTCAAAATGTGCATTACTGGTTGCAACATTGTTGAATTTATACAACACGTATAATAATATAACCTAAAAATAAAGTTATGAAATTGATAAATGAATTCAAATATCCTGCTTCGTTGTTAAATAAAATGCTAAAAACACTACTGCTTTGGCAAATATTATGAAAATCAACCTGCCCCGAGTAAACGACGCAAAATTTACGAATTTACCGCCGCTGTTACTTACAGAAGAGCGAAGAGCTGTCATCAGCTGACAGCTGTCAAATGTCATAGATCCAAACATATATTTTTGGGGTCGATTCTTTTAAAGAGAAGACAGAGCCCCGATTACGGTAACTTTTATAACGTCTACAATCCAGACGCGTTTCTGATTCTGCGATACGATTGGTCAAAACAGCTGACGTACGCTGTTGAACGACCAATCGTATCGCAGAATCGAGAAGCGTGTCTGGATTGTTGACGTTAAAAATTACCGTAATCGGGGCTCAGGCATTGAAACATACAGCCGAAACTTTAGTTTTTTAAACCCCCGCGCCCGATAGAAGAAAAGGGGTATAAGGCGGTTATCACACGGACGACAGATTTAATCATTGTATGCAAGTACCTCAGTTTGTATAGAAAACACGCGCGGCACTTCAAACTGACAATGCGTCTGCGCGCGTGATTTTTTATATGAAATCACGCGCTCCGCGGCGGAGCGCGGCGCAGTGAGATAACTGCCTGGACTTCTTGGCGGGAATGTGAAGCGCTTAGTGAAGCGTCATGTTAGCGGTTTTGTTTTGAATTCTAAAATTCGTGTTTTCTAAAATGGTGTAAGTGTCATTGTTATGTGTTCGTAAACATGCATGAGTGTGGGCAAATGAAACAAAACAGTGCAGCCTGATTCTTTCGGATTTACTCAAGTAGTCCATACGAAGTGTCAGTAAAGCACCACAACTTTAAATATAACAAAGTCTAGTAATTTATCTAACTGTTAATTTTAATTTTGTAAACCGTATCTGTTATTGTTTGAGATAGTAAGTACCTACTTGTAATAATGTTATTACAAGTAGGTACTTAGTGTTACTTATTATGGCTTATGGTCTAGTTTGTAATTTATTAACACTTTTTCTTTACGGTATACCTATTACCTATAAATAAATAAACTTTAACTGAAACTCAAAGGGCGGGAAGGGGTATCATCTGTCATCCTTCATTATATCATTTAATTTACCCAAGTCCATAGCTGGGCATTAACTCGTTAATCCGTTAATTAACGAAGTAAACATTTCTATTAACGGATTAACTTTTAAGTTAACTTTAAAAAATGTTAACGGACTCGTTAACTTCCGTTAAATTATCCTAAGTCCGTTAATCGTTAATCCAGTACCTACTATTTACCAAAAAGATACAGCAGGCACGCTGAAAACGCTAGAAAAACGTGTTCTGACAAGTACGTTCAGACTTCCAGAACCCAAAACAACAGTTTTTGTAACCAGATCACTAACGACACTTGTTAGTATGTGTGGGACAAATCTTGCAACTGAATTTAAGGCCAGTTCTCCTCAACCGATTGAGCTGAAAGAAGAACGGTCACGCCCCATACAAAAAAAAACCAGACCCGACAGAAACGAGACATACCTCAGTTTTTTTGTCACGTCTTAATCAGTTAAATTATATGTTTTTTATATTCGAAATCTATGTATAACACCAAAATATTACTCTTTGTTTTTGTTCAGGCGTTATACAAAAACTAATACAAAATGCCTATTTATCACCAAAATTGGTAAATGTATGTACCTAAATGTCTATTACAGCTGCTATGGAATGTATCTAGGTGACCTGGAGATACAGCCGGATTATACAGGGTAGTTATACATGTGAAACGATAAGACTAAGTGNTGATGACTATGTTTTGGAACAATTTATTTATTTATACGTTGAGATCATACTGATTTTGATATTAACAGCGTGGGGTGAGTAGGCCGAATTCTCTATTTTGCTTTGCTTGCTTTGTCGGCCATTTGGTGTAGTGGTTCGTAACGGACTACTATGCCGAGAGGTCCCGGGTCGATTCCCGGCCGGGCAGAAATTGAAATGATGAATTTTAATTTCTGTGATGGGTCTGGGTGTTACTATGTATAATATGTATGTATTTACAAAAAAAAGTCCGTTGTCTAG